TACAAAGGATATTGTAAAAACAATAAGAAAGTCAATTCTTAAAGAAATGAAGTTAAAAGAAATTGCGGAAGAAGTTGAAGTATCAGTTTCTGCAACATGTTCTATTTCTGATAAAATCTGTAAAGGACTTAGTGATGATGAAATCGCATCAGTAAAAAAGGAAGACGCAGCTCTTATGACGAGACACTTAAATCTGAAATTAGAATGTTAATTGAACATGATCCATCTCATACGTTAGCATCATTGAGAAACATTCTCGTTGAAAGGAATATTAATGCATCTATACCAACAATATCTAAATATTTGAAGTCGATGGAGTTCACTAGAAAACGACTTATATTAGTACCAAAAGAAAGGAACTCGCCGCAAAACATTGATTTAAGACAAAGTTTTTCCAGGACTATTAATTCGATTCCTGACAATAACTTAGTGTTTCTAGATGAAACAGGCTTTAATTTACATACTTCTAAGCAGTATGGCTATTCTATAAAGAATACAAAATGTTTTGTTACAGTGCCAGCAAATCGTGGAAAGAATGTCTCATGGACGCTATAACAGTTAATGGTATTTTAAGCTTTAAGATAGTGGATGGTGCCTATAATGGCAACCTTTTTTGCGATTTTATAACCAACAATTTAAGACCGTTTTTCCAAACGAATCCCCATTCTGTACTAGTATTGGATAATTGTGCATTTCACCGTAGAAGAGATGTAATCAATTTGCTCAGCCAATCCAGTGTTTCAGTTTACTTTTTCCCACCTTATTCACCACAATTGAACCCGATTGAGGAATACTTTAGTTGTCTCAAAGCTAATTATGCTTCTATAAGGCCGTTTCCAAAAACTAGCAATGAAGTTAAGGCTATTTTAAATTCGCTTATACCAACAATTGGCGTTGATTTTTGTGGTTGGTATTATAATATGAGAAGATAGGTTTTGAAAGACATATCAAGACAAGAACTTTACTAAAGTGGATACTTTGCTTTTTATATTATATCTTTAAGTATAATGAGTTATAATTATATAAAAAATACTCTTTATTCTTAAGAAATTTATGAATAACTTTATGTATCATAAATGCACTACTGATTCAACTACAATGTTTTATATTTTCTTAAAGAAAATATTTATATTTTCTTAAAGAAAATATAAAGCATTTTAGTTTATTTAAAAGTGTATTTTATTTTATGTTTCATATATATTTTTGAAATGTTTTATAATTTTTTAAAACTTATTTTATATATTCTTAAAACATGTTTTATATTTTCTTAAAAAATGTTTTATATTTTCTTAAAAAATGTTTTATAATTTCTTAAAAAATGTTTTATATTTTCTTAAAAAATGTTTTATATTTTCTTAAAAAATGTTTTATATTTTCTTAAAAAATGTTTTATATTTCGCATAAACCCTGTAATAATAATTTGTTTACAACGAAAACTAAGTTATTTTTTTATGAACCACCTTAAGAAACAAATTTAAGGCTTTGGTTTTTAGGATTTTAAACTTTGCCTCGATTGTTTAAGTCTTTCACATTTTCTTTAAGAACTTATAACTTTCTTTCGTGTTTGCATTTTAAAAATTATGCTACAGTTGATTTTGTCTACAAGAGTTATATTTGTTTACTAGAAAGCTTTAGAACTTAATTTTGTGTTTAAATGTCACGGTTTAAGTTGCCGTTTTTGACTAGCCATTTTAATGCATTAATCAATAACACGATTGAATAATGGGAATTTATTACATCTATATATTAAAACATAGTTTTATTTTCACAGCACTTGCTACCTGCAGTTTTGGCTTTAACGTAAGGCCAAAATTCAACTCTTTGGCATTGAATGTTTACGTAGGCCTTGGCCTTGAAATTCTTGTTCATGACCTTTTGGCCTTGTTAAGGGGCTACCCCCTCTGTTTTTAAATCTAAGTATTTTTAAAAAAAAATGTTATGGGTTTCTAGGTTTTAGTAAAATATAAACCTTTTTAAAAAAAAAATAAAAAAAAAATTGGTGGTTTCCTTGGTAACCAAAAAATACCCCTAAAATGACCAAAAAATAACTTCACGCTAGCCAAAATATAAGAATATGTGTACATATTTACCTTTTAAAATTTTAATACAATATTATCATAAAGTAGGGCTGTGAAATGAATGGATCAGATTTTTCATAACATTTTGCCATCATCAAAATGGCGCAATCAAAGATCATGGTCAAGATTTTCATCGATTTTAGGTCATATATATATATTTTTAATAAAATTAATAAATTCCATTCCATTCATTTCACAGAGTATAATATGATAAACACTTCCTGAAAATTTCATATAAAAATGTAATACGGTTCTCCAGATAATTTGGCCGGCGTGCACAAATTTCTATTTTGAGAAAAAGACAATTTAAGTTAAAATTTTTGAAAATAATACAATTTTTTTCATAAAAACTGTTGAAAAATAAACAAAGTTTTCAAAATCCACCAGGAACATATAAGTCACCTTCTTTTTCAATTATTTTCTCATTCTTCTTCAGTTTCTTGGCACGTAATACTTGCCTTCTTAACTTTTTAACAGGGTTCATTCTAATTTCTGCTTTTTGTAATCTTTCACTATTTAATGATTTGCATCCTGCAATCATATGAAAGCCTGGTTCCATGTCCAGTTGCTTCGAAATATCAATAGATGTTTTTGCTCCAATATTAAAATTGGCAACAGCGTCATATACACCAATTGTTAATTGGGTAAGTGATACAAATGTTTGTTTTGGTATACGCTTCCAAATCATTCCATAAAAAGACTCATTGGCATTTTGTGTCTTACCGTGCAAACATTTTTGTAACTCAATGTCTTTCCTTAAATCCTTAAATACAGCTCTTACTTTCATTACGACATCCATTGGTAAACCTGGTTCTGGCTTATAGGTTGATGTCTTATTTATTTTATTGGCATTGTATTTGCACCAGCTGTCTGCACCAGTGAGGCAGTGTGGGAAATGTAAGCTATTATTTTTTGAGGAAGCAACATGAAATAGTGATGCCAACACCAGTTGGATCAGATTTTTGGAGGCTTTGAGTTAAACTACAATCTTTACAATATCTGGACATGATTTCAACATCTAAAATTTTGCCACTAGCAGTAGAGATGGCAGAAAAGACTCCGTTGAGTGATGAGTATCCTCGTTTTTGCCATGTTCCATCGCAAGATAAACAAATATCGGTTACTTTCAAAGCTATATTTTGTAATTTATTAGCAGCATTTAACATTGTTCGTTCTGCTACAGTTTTAACAGCTTTTGAAATTACTTTTATCAGTTTTTCAAAATTGTTTTTGGTCATTGGCTTAGGTAGATTCATAATGGTACAAAATTTTTTGATGCCTGCATATCCATGACCCAATAATCGCATACAATAAATTATTTGTTTATTGATATCAAATCCTTTTATATTTGTCATAGTTAGAAGTGTAAAACTTTTGAAAATGGTTACAAGCTCTTTTCATACACTTAAGATATAGTAAGGATGATAAACCACGTCGTTGAGTATATCTCTCACTTAGTGAGATTGTTGAACAACCACACTCTGGACACAAAACAGAACTTAAAATAGACATTAAAACAGCAACATAAATTATACAATAACCAGATATGGCAGGTTTTGAAATAATTGTATCTTTTAAGTTTTCGATTTTATGAGCTGAAGCTGATAAATTAAGTGGATTTTCAAAAATTGGTTCAGTAACACAAGTGATGTTAGGGACTAAGATTTATTGTCGGCAATTCGATATTAGTACTATCAGATACAATAACAGTATTAACAGAATTTTGAACATTTCCCATAAACCTTTTCCTTTTTTTATGAGTTTGTGTACATTTCTTAACTCGACAAGCTTTTCCCATTTTTACTAATTAAACTAACCTAATAAAATCTCAAGAACTGACTGAACTGAAGAATATTGTCGTACTTGATGTACCAAGGTATTGGTAAATTCTAAAAAAACGCATCAAGAAGTTGTTCAAGCTTATGCATTGCAAGTGTAACACTATTTTGAATGAAATTAAGGTAAAAGTATGGTGTATAAAATTGTTTAAGTGCGTTGCTAAGGAAACTACTAAAGAGGTGGTTAACTTGAATAGACAATTTAAGATAGTTAAAGATAAATCTGATACATCCAAAACAAATTTTATGATTCTGCATAGTTTGAAAGAGTTAAAATTAAAAAAAAAAAAAAAAAAAAATGAAAATTTTATGGGAGGATAGCCCCTTAAACAACTAAGGTAAAAACAGCTGCATATAGTTACAATAACAATGATTAATTTAAGTCTTAATAAACTCTTTATGTTTTCGTGATATGCACACTAGTTTCTGGCTTTTAAACATAATGGTTTGTATAGTTACTGAATATTTTATTTCATCTTATAATTTATTAAATGCGTCAACTTGATTTTAATGGAGTATTAAAATACATAACGTATTCCTTATCAATGGGAATAATAGTTGGATTACGCGCTTTCTTCAATTTGATCTTTGTAAGAATTTCTTACTCACATTTCGTGTTGTCTTCATAACGCGATATCAAGCAGTAAAATTATCGTCAAAAAATCTTAAAAATATGCGTCTTTTCCAAATTTTTTTACCCGATTAACAGTAACACAGAAGACAGTTTTCTTTATGCAAAATGATGTTTATACTTTTATCAAAAACCATTGATAGATTTATAAGAGTATCTATTTATTAAGTACCTTTACCAAAATTAGCAATTTGAAATAAAAGTAAAATACCTAAAAAGATTTCAAAAATTGCAGTAACGACCTTAAATATGTTATTTTTCTAAAAATGTTTAAATTTGAAGTTTATTAAAATTTCAGAGCTATTTCAAAAACGTCATAAACAACTCAATATATAAAATACTTCATGCTGAACAACAAAAAAAAACAAAACAGGTTATCAAGCATTCAAATTTCCTTCGACGCACTATATTTCGAAAGTCTTCATACCGAAATAAAGTTTTAATTAAAATAAATTGAACGTAAAACAGATTTTATTGCTCATATAGGAATCCATATTAATAAAAATGGGCAAAGTTAACGTTCTTTAAATAAATTTATATTAAAAACGCGGAATAGAAATACAGAAGAAAATCGTCAGTGCTATTCGTTGCATTTCTTCAGAAAGATACTGTTGAACTTGAGGCATGCTACCGAGCTGTAAATAATGTTGATCCATGAACTACTTCCAACTGTTATTTATCATCGGAGTTTACATCTTCGCCAGCCAATTGATCCTTAAAACAATAAAAATAATTGTAAAGCACAACCAATGAAAAATAAGCATCCACTTTTTCAAAACTAAATACAAGCATATCGGAAATACACGTTAGTCAATTTTTCTTAAAATCTTATAATTTTTAATTTTTAGGCACAGAAAAAAAAAATAATCTAAAAATATATATTTTATTTACAACCTTTAAAGCACTTTTTATAAAATTATAGTCAACTGATTAAACTTCAAAACTAATTGTTTTTAACTTTATTCTATTGAACTGGTAAGAGTATAAATCAAGTGCTATTAATTTGGTATAAGAATAAATCAAGTGCTAACCCATACACCATCTAGAAGAACCCAGTAGTTTATTTTATAATATTATATATCTTATCTGATGTTTTAGTTATATGCTGAAAAAATTTCATAAAATTTTATTTTAACCCTAATGTTTCATTACCTTAATTTGTTTTATTAATCACCAGTTGTTGTTTCTTAACTTTACAAAAAATAAAATAAATAATCTTCAAATAAAGCTTGATGACATTAATTCATATAACTTTTGTTGATCATATAATTAATGCCTTAATGAATAATGAACTATCGGTTAGGCTCAGTATTTTCCGGCAGGATATTCTTAGCAATAACAACGTTAGTTGTCTTAATACTTAACGAATTAACTCGAAATATTTTTAGTAATGACATTCTTAATACATCATTCATATATTTAATTGTATTAGTGTTTTACTAATACTATCAGTTTAATACAAAATAATATAAATAAATAATAAAAAAAAGCTTTGGAAAATTTCTTTTAAAATCCAACCTACTAATATTCAAAAATTGCAAAATTATCAAAAGTTGCTAAATCTTCAGTAGAATAAACCTCTAGAATATTGAGGCAAGAATACAAGAAGACTTCAACTATCAAAAAAAAAGGCACCGCAAAGATAAAAGATTATGTTGACAAAAAAAAAAGTGAATTCAATCATTTGGTCAACAACAAGAAATTATGTCAACCCCAAAGAGATCTAGCCTAAAAGTTCGAATGCAGTCGTTTCCTTTTTCAGAAAAGCACTTAAGAACACAAGTTTAAAGGCTTACATCATAAAAAAAAACTTCAAAGCAATCAAATGACGAAGAGTTAGAAGCAATTCGTTATGTATAGAAACTTGTCAAACTTTTTAACAGAGTAAATTTATGCATTATTGAGGATAACAAAACGTACTGCAAAAAAGATTTCTCAGTTGCCCGGCCATCAATATTGTTATTATTAAAAAGGTGTCAGCAACAAATTTAAGTATACTCAGATTAAAAAGTTTAGTCCGAAGATATGGCAAGCAATATGCTCTTGTGATCTTAAGAATGCTCCAATTGTCACTTGAAAGACTACAACCAAAATGGCATCAAAATTGTCCTAAAAGATGAACGAATCCTCAAAACTGCCTCGAGCAGCATGTTATCAGGGGTAATTGGGCAATTATGAAAGAAATTTGTTTGAAAAGCAACAAATCAAGCAAGAAAGAAAAAATGGATAGCAGCTTCAAAAAAAGTTACTAAAAGCAAGACCTAGGAAATGATAACACCTACTTTTTCTAAGCACCTTCTGAAATCTGTACAAACTGATTAAAAATTTCAAATGATACAATAAATTTATTATATAAAAATTTGAAATTAATTCGTTAAGTATTTGAGTTAATGCTAAGTATATCTGGCCAGAAAGTACTGAGCCCAACCATTATTAAACATATACAAATATACCTGATCATCATCATCTTCACCATCAAATTCACCTTCTTCATCAAGTTCATCTAAATCTTCCTCTTCATCTCCATCATCTTCTTCATCTTCAATTAAAACTACATTTTCTTCATCGTCGTCATCTTCACCATCATTTCCTACACCAAGGTAATACTGGAGTGGATTAGGCCATATGTCATCTTTTATTAGATCTCCTACTTCGTCATTTCCACCCTCAGACTGATCATTAAACCACGAAAAAAAACTCTCTGGCTCTTCAACATGACGCTTTTGCCCTGGTTTAACACTCTGATCAGAGCGTTTAGTTAGATCCTGCAAAGATTTTTTTTACATAATGAAAATTATTTAATAAAATCTAGTAATATATATCATAGATTTAATGCCTTAAATTAAATAAATATATTTTAAAAACCAATAAAACACCTTTTTAACTTACACAACTATAAAAAAACATAACCTTAGTAAAAATTAAGATTTTTATTATATATTACATAAAAAAATATTTTTTATTATATTATAAGTCTTTTATACTTAATACTCTATACTATACTTAATTTTATTGTCTTTTAATCAGAATTTCTTATATTAGGTAAACTCAATGATCATCTAGGTCATATTTTAAAAATCCGGAACATTTCGGGAAGTGACATTAAAAAAAAAATTCCAAATTTTTTTTTTATATTTGTCTAAATTTAGCTTCAAAGGGACCACAAACCTCCAGGACATGTTGTGTTCATATTAAAGTGAATGATAAACACATGTTTAGGTAAATTTTTACACAATTGATTTCTTACGCAAATAAAAAAAAAGTCAATGATATCATGAATAAATTATTAAGCCTGTAGATTACACAGTATATTATGCTGACTTTTTGGCCTACAACAAAACGGAGAAGGCAAGTCTAGACTAAAACAAAAAAATTAGTTTTTCTTGGTATGCATTTATTCTTTTATTGTAATCAAAATTTTTTAGTCCAAATATATATATTTTTTTATCATTCTCTTTAATATGAACACAAAATGTCTTGGAGGTTTAGAATCCATTTAATCTAATGGTTTTCTTAAATATTTTTGAAACTTTTCTCATTTTTTGTATGGGTAATAACTAAAAAAGTTACAAAACAAACATAATGAAAAAAACCCTGATAAATAAGGTTTTTTTGGAAGCAAATAAAGATTACGAAATAAAAACAGAAAATTTTTTTTTTTGAAAATAAATATTAAAGAAAAACATCTTAAGAAAGATCACAAAAATCTTATCACTAAAGCTAAGATATCAGAAAGTTTACAAAACTAAGTCGAATTTGCAAAAACCTGAATTACACGCAAAATTATTAATTGTTCAAGTAAAAAAATGAAAAAATGTTTTAAACCAAAAGTTATAACACTTTTTGTTTTTGTGTATATTTTCAACTTTTTAAAGTATGCTATATTTAGCATGCAATATTTAGCACTACTTATTGGTTTAAACTGCAATTGTAAAAAGCTTTAATCAGCTCTACAGCATTCTTTTATTAATAAATGTTATTAACTAGAGCTTTACAACCCACTGCTAGACACTTCTTTGGCCCGTTAAGCAAATAATTATATATATTATAATTAAATAAATATATTTGTTTAACTAAAACCAGTAATATTTACTAACAACTAGATTTTAAAAAGTACATAACAATACATTATTTACTTTATTGTAGTCAAGCTACTTTAAGTACACAACAAAATTTCTAAACATATAAAAATTACCATATTTTCTTTCCATGATATAGAGGTCGATTTACAGGTTTGTTCACCTGTATCACTAAGCATGAATTCTTTGCACAAAACATCGTTATCAAAATAAGGATTTTCTGTGAAATGCTAAAATGAAAAATTTTTATTAGAATACTATTATAAAAATAATTCCATTTTACTATTAAATAATATATTTATGACATAGATTTCATTTTTATAGCTTCATATTTGCTGTGTTTCAACTGAGCCATTTCATCAAACTATATAACAATAAATTCAATATCATATATCTATATTACTTTTGAATCATTCAAACTTAAAGTTTTTATATAATAAAAATATATTATAAATGATTATTCAGGATTGCCACTATAATTTTTAAAGTTTTTCCTTGAGTAAAGAACATTTTCCCCTGAGTTGAACTTTTTAAGTTCCCTGAGTTTTCCTTGACTTTTCTATATTCTTTCCTGGTCATCAACAATATTATTTTCTTAATTAATCACAATCCTTATATTTGACAAACTAAAACTTTTACAACAACACCTGCATCTTGCAAACTTATTATTATATTTATTAACAAAATATTTTTGAAAAAAAAAAAAATGGTACAAAATTTCAAAAAAAAAAAAATATATTTTCCTTAAGTTTTCTCTGAATTTTATGAAAATTTTTAAAAAAGTCCCTAAGTTATCCAGGTTTTCCCTGGGATTCATGCCATTTCCAGGTATTCCAGGTTGAGTGGCAACCATGTTATTATATTGTGTATTAGTGATGTACTGATTGCTCATTTTTAGCTGATGCCGATACCGATGGAAAAAGTAGGTTGATAGTAATGTTAACTAGTTAAGGAATTATAAGGATAATTAATAATATAAAATTAATTATTTCAGGTCAGAAACAAGATCATCTTGAGCAACCAGCTACTAGTAACATTTTATCAAGTATAATCTGGCAAATGTCTTGCTGCCTTGTAACTCTGACTTAAAATAAATTATGCTTTCGGGTTCTTGGTTGAGTTTAGGCTAACGATAGTGCTTTGATCAAAATATTTGCCTTGGCAGATTTTAGCATTCAGCTAATGCTTTGTAGAAATCTATGGCAAAAACTTAAGGAGTAAATTTGTTTAAGCCTGCCTTAGTAATAAATAAAATAAGGATATTTATCAAATGTCTGACAAGGATTTAAAACTGCATTTCACTGTTTCCTGCCTTGGATAATTTATGCTGGATTATTAATTCTCATGAAGATGATCCAGCATATTGTGTTCTTTCTTGTTTATCATAATTTTACCACTTAGATGAGAAAATTTTACCTCTTAAGTGGCTCTTTTTAGATGAAACAAAAATATACTTTAGTCAAAAAAGATGTACATCTCACACATCTCTTGTACAATACTGAAAACTCAATTTTTTCCATGTTGTTTCACATTAAAAAGAACTTTATAAGATAAGCGTGAAACGTCTTATCCATCTTAATGCAATCCAACATAGTTTTTTAAAAACCAGCTAATTCTCTTGATATTTATAACTATGTCTTTATATTATATATAAATAAGTCTATATACATATACAATAATTTACAAGTAACAATAATCAATTATTAGCTTTAAAACAATCATTAACTATATTTACACTTCCTCTTGGTCATAACGACACTTGGGCAGCACTTTTATCTCCGAGCAGCACAACGTAAAGTTCTTCATCATCTTCTGAATCCTCAATCAAATCATTGTCACCTCCTATTTGTCCAAGATCTTTATTCAAATCATTGCAAACTTTAGCTTGTCTTAGGTCTCATACTTGTTGACACATTTTGTCCACTTCTACAATTTGCTTAGAGATTCCTGTAATTATTCCATTCTTGTATTGAGAGTCGCATTGATTATCCAGGGGTTTAAACCATATTTTATTGTCAAGTTTAAATTTATTAGTTATCTTCTTTTAAGAACAATGTGCATTCTTATTGTTGTCAATTCCTCTTACTTAAAATTCTTATTGATATAACTTATTTGCAGGTGCAATAGAAGATTCACAACTATCTTTTGGACTAACATACCAATAAACTGCCTCCAGTATGGTGCACGGTACTCTCTTCGCTGTTCTTTTGACAGTTCGAAGTTATTGTCATAACAATTCTATTTCCAGAAGCGCACCTAAATCGAAGTTTAACGTTCCATTTATTTACAAACTGCGAAAATGTGTGCATCAAAATACAGTATCGATTGGCAGTATTTCATGCGGACCTCCTTGTTCAAAAAATATTGTGTTTAATTCTTGAATAACACACGCACTGGTTTGATCTATAAGATATCACTATATTACATATCGTGTAGGTACACAGTCAATTAGAGTAAGATAGTGCTGCCCTCATAATGAGTTATATCTATGCCAAGTCGCTAACACATTCTTTTTAATTTTATTTCCCCATTCGATCATTATATTGGTCAATTAATCAATTGATTGACAAGCTATGCATTTCTCAACCACTTGCTTTACATCTTCCTTACTTACTGACGGGTCAATTTTACAAACTATGTAAAATGTTTTCTTCACGCCATAATATCCTCTAGATCAATGAATGTGCTTGATTTATTTGGAAGATAGCGAACTTCAAATAATGCCACTTTACCATTTCAGAGGGTTTATTAACTATTTTTAACCAAGTATTAGGAACTCTAGTAAGTGCATCAGGAAAGTTGACAAACTTATTATCTACTTTGAGCTGGAATACTTCCAATATATTTTCGATATTCTGGAGTATTCTTTTTATCAGCATTTTGTAACCCAATGGAATACTGCTTTTGAATAAGTGTAGATATGCAAAATTTCCATTTTCCAATTAAAGCTGATATTTAGTCCTTTAATTACTGCATCAAGTTCAAACATGTTTATGTGTTGTGTCATCTTTTCTTAACCAACAACCGCCTTCGATTATATTGCCACCACCTCGACAACCATGCCTGGAGCTATTGAACTAGGAATTACCCCAATTGTTGCCTTGTTGTTTAACACTTTAAATTCCCTTTGCTGGATCTTCATTCCGTGTTTTATGCTAACAGGGATAGTGTATTAAGCAATCTTGTTCACTAGAGTTTCAGGTTGAGAATTATTATTTCATTCCCACACAATTATCCATTCTCGATTTGGTTTCTCAAACAAAGCTGTGAAATCCCGAGCCATTATATCATATTACTGACATCTTTTGGCACATCACTTAACATAGTAAGTAAACATGATTCACTTCTTCCCATAAAACAAACATCACAAGTTGCAGATATTGATACTCCACCAAAAGCCACTATTTTATCCATACCCATTAAGAAACAATAACCAAGTGGTTTTTGTGGAAGTCAACTACAAGTACTTCCACAAAAACTTTATTCCCATTTTGTGTGACAATTTGAGTTCGGCTAATTTTGTATTGTTGTTATCCATTTACAGTTATCACACTAACTTCTTTGTAATTTTGGCACACATTTTTATAAATGATGCAGCAGGTACATCCTGAGTCAATTAACAGATCCCGAAAAACGCCATTAATGTCCAAGCATATAGTAGGTAACGCCATTACTAATTGGTTAGGGAGAGAGCTGGTGCAAACATTTTCTCTTTTGGTACGTTTTTTGGTTCTCAGTTCAGCACATCTTCTTGTTGCAGCAGCAAAATTTCATGCATTCCATTATTCCGTTCTTCTATTATGAGTGCTCGCACAAGTATCCATATAGTAGTAAGATCATCCGTATGAGAACTTAATCTCAGCATCCATCGAACTTTCACAGGGAGCCCAGAAACAAAGGCTCATGCAATTTACTAACTTACATAATATTGATAATTTTGTTTCGAAAATAAAAAGTATACCTATATTATATATAAAGAGAGTTTGCCTTATTTAATATAAGTGTGCAAAAGTTTCAGTTTTTTAGAGGGCTTGATCCTAAAAGTATCATTTACCTCAGATTGTAAAATTTATCATTTATTTGACTTTATTTGTAAAATTTATAATTAAAAATTTAATTAAAATGTGACCATGTTTGACCTTATGCTTCCTTTTAAGAGTATATTAATAAATGAACCTGATAGATAAAGTTATAATTAAAAAAATGGTAATAAATTATTATATGTAATTAGTATATTAAACAATAAAATAAATTTAGTGCACTACAAAATTTTTTTTTATTATTTGAGTCGCTTGTTAAAAATTTTTTGCAAGAACTATTGGATTATAAAACTATTGGATAACTATTAAAAACAATTTATAAAACTCCACATGCCAGCCATGAGGAGTTTTATAAATTGATGAGCTGCTGTTGAGCATTTTTTCAAGCAGTCACAGTAAATTACATATGAAAAAAACTGAGTGTTTTAAACCCCATGCTGTATATAAAAAGCATTAGCCATGTTGCAGATTTTAATAACGATAAATGCAAACAATGTAAATTTTAATTCAAAATAAGTATTCAAACTCATTCTCACATGGCCTATCATTCCTTTTACTCCTGAACAATTGAACTTAATTTTTTATGGTTTGTAACTTTGCAGAAATCAATCATTGAATTTTATTCTGTGACATGAACTCTCCGTTATCATTGTTAACTTTTTTTGGATAATTTTTACAATTTTTTACAACTTTTTTTTGGATAATTTACAATTTTGAAGTATAGAGTTAGTTAGTTAGCACATTACAGGATAAAGCATGTGAATCATTAATGATTTTGTTTGAAATATTACTGAACATGCTTCAAAATCTTGGGTGAAAAAGCACATAAAGCTTAATATCCTAAAGTCTAAAAATCATTGTGTAGCACTTCACAAATTCTTTTTCATCAATATGTTCATAATAAATAAGTTCACAATAAAGCCATAAGGTTTCAACATGTTGTTTGGAAAACTCAGCAACCAAATTAGTTACTTTAACTAAATTAACACAATCTTCAAACCTGGCACTAACGTTTAAAAAAAGAGCGATAATCAATAAAAAAATCATCTAAATTTGTGGAAAGCTTTTTCATGCCTTTTCTAAAAGCAATAACTTTATTAAGGTTATAATTACACTAAACTCAAGAAAATATTGTCAGACTTTTTCTTTAGATCTAATGTTAGCTTCATTTTGAAAGTTTTGTTAACATT